TAGTTTACATTAGGGTTCACTCTTGGTGTTGTACATTCTGTGGATTTGGACAAGTGTATAATGATGTATTTCCATTACAGTTTTATACAGAGTGCCCTGATCCTCTGTGCTCTGCCTACTTGGCCCTCCCTACTCCTAACCTCGGCCAGCCACTGATCTTTTCATCTTGCAAACTACGTCTCCATAGTTTTGTCTTTTCCAAAATAGCATATGGTTGGAATCATACAGTATGTAGTCTTTTCAGATTCTTTTCAGTTCTCTCTTCCAGATGTCAAATATGCTGGGCACCTCACTTTGAAGGGGAAATAGGAGGTCTTGGGTTTCAGCTAGTACTGAGCAGTACTAATCATGGAGAGCTTCCTTGAGGAGGTGAGGTGGTTGGGCTTATGCTAGGCACAAGGAACAGAAGGATTCCAGCGGTGAATGATTCCACCTCTGGGTCCATGTGGGACCTGCCCCTTAGCTCACCTCTACTGTTTCCAGGGAGACAGTTTCCAGAGAACTCGGAATACTCACATTGCTGTCACTTGGCAACCAGGACCTGGTGGCTGCAGCCACCTGCCATGCTCTTCCATCACCCTGGGCCCATGGGCTCCGCACTGCCCAGGCAGCGGGTGCCCAGCTAATGAGGCACCTTCCACCTGTTTACCTTCTCAGCCACACACAGGCCTCACAGGAACAACTGAAACTCTTGGTAACAGAGGTAAGTCCACAGAAAGTGCTGGATGGATGGGCCCAGAAAGACATGGACAACCTCCAGCCCCACGGGACCCTCCTGTTTGTTCCCATCTGTGGAGAACAATGGAGACCCTGAGGTCCAGGGTGGACAGAGCACAGTCCTGGCCCTCAGGGGACTCACAGCCTAGTGCAATAGTCAGAGCTTACATTATTATTTCCGTATACCACATGTGTCAAACACAAGGCCCGCGGGCCAAATCTGTCCCGCCAGGCCTTGCAATGTGGCCCGCACCGCGCTGTTATCACTGCACTCTGCTGCGTTTCCATCACAATGACAGTTTATGACTGTTCAGTAAACCATTCGGCCCACGATTTAGGCTGGATTTTAGATTTTGGCCCCTTCTCTGATTGAGTTCGACACCCCTACCGTATACAAATGTTAGTGCCTACTCCATGATAGCTCCTGAGTCAAAAACTTTCAAAGACCTGGCTCACCTTTAATGGGGGAGGAGAGGTAAGCAGATGCCATAGAGTCCCACTCACACCTCAGCACTCCCTACTAAGCACCAAAAGCTGCTTTCTCTAAACTCTGCAATTCTCTGCCTGAGGGCTTGTCATGCCCCCAGAAGCAGCCCTCACTCAACCTGGGGCAGACAGGGAGTGAGGGAAACACCCAGTTCCTTTGCTCTCAATTGAGACAAACCAGGGGTGAAACCTTGGCTTGATCACATAGCACCTAAGGCTTCCTTCTCTTTCCTGTCTCACTCCCCTCCTCCCTTATTGCTATTTCCTAGAATCAGGTCCCAGATAAACTGTCCCAAATAAATCCTTGTCTCACATTGGCTTCTGAGGGAACACACGCTAACAGGGATGATGATGGTGTATAAAAGGGAACCAAAATTCTGCGGGGTTCAAGTTATAACCAATTGTACTCAAAGCAATGGATAAACCAAGGGGGATGGGGTGCTGTCTGCCCTAGTGCAGGCAAGGGCATGAGCACACTGTCTGTAAAAACAACAAGCTTAAAGCAATAATAAAACTGATCAACAGCCAGTCTGCTTTTTATTATCACCATGAACCAGACATTTTAGTCATCTTGAATGATAAAATTCTCCTCCCCACTGAGTCTGCTAGCTCTCTCTGGCCCATGCCCGCCCTTTGGCACCCCCACTGGCCACTGGCCCTAAGGAGAGAGAATTAATTTGGGGCAGAGGAGATGAAGGGAAGCCTCATTCTGGAGGCAGCATTGACCTTCTAGTCACAGAGTATTGGCTGCATTTCACAGGTCCAAGCCTTTGCATATGCTGTTCTCTATTTCTGGAACATCTTTTGCTTCCTATCTTCCACTACAGTTCAGTGCAATTGGGCATCTCTTCCTTTAAGAAGCTCTCCATGACCCCTAACCTGAATTAATTGCCTCCTCTGGGCTTGCACAGACCTCCAAGTGTCCCTCTGCCCTACAGTTTCCACACTGGGCTTCCTTAGTCTGTTTTGTTTTTTTTGTGTGTGTGGTTTTGTGTGTGTGTGTGTGGTGTGTTTTTGTTGTTGTTTTTTTTTGTTTGTTTGTTTGTTTTTACCACTAGACAGTGAACTCCATAGTGGCAGGAACTATGGCTTGTTTATCTGGGCCTGGATCACAGTAGGCACTTAGGGATAGGGCTGCCACTTGGGGGGAGGGCACCTTTATGCAGTGTATAGCCTGCATCACCATCCAGGGCAGCCCAGCCTATGGAGGTTTGGTTAATGATTAAGTGAATGAATTGGTGGAATTTTCCATAACTGGTGAAAGACATCAGGGGCAGAAGAGACAGAGCAAGTAAAATCAGGGATGCCTGAAACTGCAGAGAATCTTGGTAGAGAGAGCACATAGTCTTATGCCACCCTCAGTACATCTCAGGAGTTCCACAGTCCCCAGCTGTAGCTTCACCCAGAGTGTGGTCAGCACACCGGCATTCCACTCTTAGATCTGCTCATATAGAATCTCCACAGATGAGGTGTAAAAGTCTGGGCATCCAAGGGTTACCTCAAGAACACAGAATTTTGAGAGATACACGGCCAGCTAACAAAGTGAGTGGTGGACTGCAAAAGAGTGAGTGAGACTAGCCCATTCATTCATTCATTCATTCACACATGCATGCATGCATGCATGCATTCATTCATACATTCATTCAATAAGTATATATTGAGCTGGGAAGATACTCAGGCATACCTATATCCAAGACAAACATGGCCTCTGCTCCTTTTCACAGTCTAGTGGGAACACAGTCATTAAATAAACAAGCAAACAAATACCTAATGAAGTATCAGGTTATGAAAAATACTTTTCAGGAAAGAAAAAAAAAAGTGGTTGCATGAAAGAGGTTGTTTTGGATGGGTGTCAGGGAAGCCCTCTGCTGAGGCTAGAAGGAGAAGAGGAAAGGAGTCACCAAAAAGGAAGGAGTGATCCATGCAGATGTTTGGAGAAAGAGCACTGCAGGCAGTGACAGCCGTACATGCAAAGAAAGGCCAGGAGAATAGAACATGTGAAAGAAAGAGGCTGGGGAGGAGGCTCCTGCAATAGTCCAAGCATGAGAGGCTAGAGAATCAGATCAAGGTGGAGGTGGTCAAACTCAGAATATATTTTGAGAGTAAAGTTCACTAGCTTTGCTGTTGAAGCAAATGTGGGTGTGAGAAAAGATGGGAGTCAAGATTACAGCAACCAAGAATGCAGGTGATGAGGGGAGAGCTAGAGTAGCTAATGTCGGAGAGAGGTAAGTGATGAGGGAGAGATGGGGGTGCAGATCACATGCAGGTTCCTGCAGGCCATGGGGAGGACTTTATTTTTCCTTTGAGTGTGATGGGAGCCCTGCGAGTTTCAAGCAGAGGTGTGGGATGTGACGTAGCGTATGTTCTAATGTAATCTATAGTTGTAGAACATAGAACAGACGTTCAGGAGAGGGCAGTTCAGAGGCTAGTGAAGGCATCAAAATGAGAAATAATGGCTTGTAGCCAATTGCTGACTGGGATGGAAAACTAGATTTCAAGAAACCTGTTGAAGAAATAATAGGTGGTAAAAATTATGAAGAAGACAGGCAAATAACCTGTTGAAGTTTAGTAGTAGATCAAGAATTTCAGCTCTGTGGCAGAAAAGTGGCCTTGGGGAAAGTGGCCTTAATTCTCTGAGCTGGCTTTATCATCTGCAAAATGGAGGTGATAATGAAACAAACCTCAGAATTGTTGTTAGGGTGATGTAAAGGTTTTGGCCCAGCATCTAGCACACAATAAACACTTAATAAATCCTATCCTAGCCCACGCAGTTGCTCAGTGGTTTCTTTGGCCCATTGATGGAAGAGTGGGTTTGATTCCCGGTCAAGGGCACATACCTGGATTGCAGGTTTGATTCCCTGCTTTGGTCCCGGTGCATAGGGTATGCAAGCAATCCACGTGTCTCTCTCACGTTGATGTTTTTCTCTCTCCCCCTCTTTCCTACCCTCCACTCTCTTTAAAAATCACTAGGGGTGGGGGGTGGGGTGGAGAGGGGTGCCGAAACCGGGTTGGCTCAATGGATAGAGCGTCGGCTTGGGAACTGAAAGATCCCGGGTTCAATTCCGGTCAAGGGCACGTACCTTGGTTGCGGGCATATCCCCAGTAGGGGGTGTGCAAGAGGAAGCTGATCGATGACTCTCTCTCATCGATGTTCCTAACTCTCTATCTCTCTCCCTTCCTCTCTGTACAAAATCAATAAAATATTTTTTTTAAATCAATGGGGGGGGGGCGGGAACACCTTCAAGTGAGGATTTAAAATAATAAAATGCTATCCTAGGAGTCAGTCAGCTCAGTCCCAATTCCATCTCTGCCACACTCACTGTATGGCTGTGTTATCTTGGTCAAATTAAACCCTTTGTACTTTTGTTTACCCATCTGTAAAACGTGGCTATAAGTAATAGCCAACCTTATATGTGTCACGAGGATTAAATAAATGAATAGAAGTAGTGAAGCATTCCAAATAATGTGGCACGTAGCAAGAAATGACTGAGGTAATTACTGTTAATAATATACTTTTGCCATATTTCATAACATATTCCCCCATTTAGCAATCACAGCCAGGCGGAACCTTTCAAGTGTTTCGCTCCTGTTTCCAGCCCGGACGCGCTGGAGCAGCTGCGCCGCTCTTTAGAGCTACTTCCGGCAGCCGCGCCCCCTTACCCGAGGGCGTCTCCATTTTGGCGGTGGGTGGAAGCAGCCAGAGCGAGTGGATTATCGGTGCGGAGTCATCAGTACCCGGCGGGCCGGCCGGCTCACCGCACTCTCTCTCTCTCCTCTGCCCGCAGAAGCCGGGGGCACGCATGGCGGGCTTGGAGGTCCTGTTCGCGTCGGCGGCGCCGACGATCACCTGCGCGCAGGACGCGCTGGTCTGCTTCCTGCACTGGGAGCTGGTGATGCGCGGCTACCACTGCGTGGGTGCCGGCGAACAGGTACGCCAGGGAGCCGGCTCGGAGCTAGGGTGGAGGGGCGAAGGTGTCTTCTGCCCAAACCCAGAGGACCGGAGGCCTGGTGCAGAGCTCTGACCTTCCCCTCTCCCAAGTCTCGGGTTCATGACGCCATTGGTACAGCCTGCGGTCGGGGAGGTGCTCTGCTGCCCCAACTCCGCTCAGAGCACCTCACAGCACAGCTGTGTTGAAAACGCACGGTCAGAAACTTGCTTTCAGCACAGTCTGCCAGTCTCCGAGGCCAGGACTGTGTGGGCCTGGCACCCAGACGGTGTAGCTCCCCTGCGCACTCCTCACCGACCTGAAGTGTCTGCTAAGTTCCTTCCCACACAGTCGGGGCCGGGGGACTGCCCTCATACTGTTCTGGGCTCCCACCGGATAGCGGGATCCAAGCACGGGTGTCGTCGGGGTGAGCTTGGACCTACTCAGCCCTTGTCAAGGGTCCTTTCTTCACGCCTCAGCCTGGGCCAAGAGAGCTCACATCCTCCATCCTTTGCAGACCACTCGCTGCTGTCGTCCCCAGCTCAGACTCTGGAAAACAAGCACCTCACACACGTACACACATACCCCCTGCATATGTGGGCCAGAGAAGGTTTCCTCCCCACAGCTGCCTGCGGAAAAGAAGGGTCGATCACACACACACACACACACACACACACACACACGCAGCAAGAGCCATTTCTCCCTCCCAAATGCCTCTTCGTGGCCTATTTACCCCGTACTTCAGACCTTGGGACAAGGTAGAGACAGCCCCCACTCACAAGAGTCACGTTTCCCCTTTCAGTGTATAGTCTGCCCAGCATCTCCTCACCTGCCCTACTTCAGCTTTCTAATCTTTAACACTCTTTCACTTCCCCTAATCATTTCACTCCCATCTTTCCTGGGAAGTCTCCCAGGATGTGTGGGGTAACACATGGAACAGTGGGATGGGAGAGAGGAGTTAGACTTGGTCATGACTTTGGAACTCCCTCAGTGGCCCTCAGCTCCCTGCCCCCCACACTTCTTTTCTCGTCTTTCAGATCTAACATGCCTGCCCTGCTCTCTGCCCCTTCTCATGTACCCCACTCCCCTATCTCCTGCCAGCTAGCGACTGCTTCTCTAACTAACACACTGTCAGAACCTCTCTCCGCAGGAACAGGTGTTTGTTACAGAGGGCCTGTGTGACTCCCTCTTCTCCCCATGCTAAAAAGACATGCCAACACTGCAGATCTGCTTCTGCCACTCATCCTCTCACATCCTGTCAGCAACTCTGATTCACTTCGACAGCGTAGGTCCGTGGTCGGCAAACTGCGGCTCACGAGCCACATGCGGCTCTTTGGCCCCTTGAGTGTGGCTCTTCCACAAAAATACCATGGCCTGGGCAAGTCTATTTTGAAGAAGTGGCATTAGAAGTTTAGTTTAAAAAATTGGGCTCTCAAAAGAAATTTCAACCGTTGTACTGTTGATATTTGGCTCTGTTGACTAGTGAGTTTGCCGACCACTGGCTTAGGTTATTGCCTCCTTCCAGCCAGCACCATCTCCTTTGCCACATACTCTGGACTCTAAAATTTTCAGGTGAAGTGTGCAGAAAGAATATGATCTCATTTTAATACTGACTTTAGGAAGTAAACGAGATCCTTAATTCCCAAAGGTCCATCTAGTTCCACTCTGTTCGTAGTGCTATGCGCTGAGTTCATACAGAAAATGGTGCGGCTCCACACATCATAGGGGAGGCCAGGGAGAGTGGGAATGGCACTGTTCATATGACTACCCAGTGCTAAAGTGTGCATGCTCTTTGAGGGGATGGGTGCTTATATTGCACGTCAGAGAATATCTTTGCTGCTCTTGGCCCTTTTTTTTTCCAACTGTCTGCATGTGTCCTCTCACTTCTGCTGAGTCTGCTTCTTCAGAGCTGAGGCATCTTTCCTAGTAATTTATTTCAGAGAGGGTTTAATTTTCTGGCCTGGGACCAAAAGACTCAGCAGCGACCAGTAGTGTCTGCCACGCTCAGAGGATGTGTGTGTTGCCTATCCAGCCACCTCCTGTTCCCCACCCTTCTCTGGGTGATAAAAGAGAGAGGAAGGTCCCCAAAGTGTGTATGTTCTTGATTATATAATATATTGGCAATTAAGTGAAAAGTTAAATTGTATTCTCTCTTCGGTTTTGACTCCTTTGGAACTGGGGAATTGTGTGCATAATACTTGATTAGGAGAGCAATGCATTCACTGGCTTCAGTAAAAAGCCAATATTTGAATTTGTATTTCTTCCTTGAAGTCAGCGCCATGCCTCATAAGAGCTTTACAGCTGTGTCAAGTGGCTTAGGTGGCAAAGGATAGAGATGGTCATAGACTTAGTTAGAGAATATTGTTTTGTGTTGTGAGAATCTATGATGAAAGAGAGAAAATGCTCAGAATGATCAGTTTGATTTCTTTGGGAGCGTTTTAGCCCAGAGGCACTGGGATGAGCTCAAGACCATTAAAGAATGCATCCAGCCCCAGCAGTTTGCCTAAGGGGACAACTATATTTCCTTTCTTGGAGCCAATCTGGTGGTCCTGGATGGGAAAAATCTTCTCCACCCATTGCCAGGGCAACCAGAAGCTCTGACTACCAAATCCAGCTCTGTCCCTGACTTACCGTGGCTTTGGGCAATTCTCAGACCCTGTCAGCCCTTTCTTAGATTTTCCTCCAAGGGAAGTAAACTACACAATTGCACTTTGGCTGCTTTCCAGTTGTAGCTTTCTGGGAGGCCTGATACTTGTTGTCAGGGCCTGGAGGGCAGTTGAATGCCTTATTTGGACTGATACCACTCTCTCTGCCCCACCTGTTTTTCCCACATCAAGGCTATTTTCCCCATATCAAGGCATCGCTTGGGCTGAGGAACTTCAGTTCCATTGCAGTGAGAGGCATCACCTCACTTGGGCCCAGGATTCTCTCTTGTTCTGGATGCCAGAGGTTATGGGCTTGTGACCAGACTGAGTTATCTACAATATATTCTAAGAAAAAAAAATTCTGATGGGTTGTTATAGATGGAGGACATATATTCAAAGGCCCTTAACAAAACAAAGACAGGTATATTATCAAATTCTTGGCTTCCAAAATAAATATTCCGTCCACAATGCCAAACATGTTCCAGGGAACTTACCCAATTTGGATGCAGGGAGTTTCTCTTTCTCAGAGTGGTTTGATTAGTTTCACTTTTGGTTTCCTTCACTCTCATTTCTCTGCGTCAAGCCTGGGAGTTTCTTTGTCATCCATCCAGGGTTTAAACCATGCCAGTTGCAGCATCTTGACTTTTATTTGGAGCCTCTCCCTCCATTGGATTCCTGAATACCAGGGGTGATCAAAGAGGAGAGGCCCCCAATTCTCCGCTCTTGGCTTCCCGCTGTCCGTGGGGTGTGTAAGGCCTATGTTGTTGGACCTTTGTCTTTTGCCCTTGTTCTGTATCTTTGGTCTCACTCTCTCGTACTATATTCTCATGAATACAGGTCTTCCCAGTCCACTTTCTCCATATTTGGCTGTATAAATACGCACCCATGAAAAACATATAGTTTATGTGCATTTTAAAAATGTGTGCATCAATATCACCCATCTGTAAATCTCATTTTTTCTTAACCTTTCTTTGTCATATATATGTATTTTTTACTTTTATCTGTAATGCTACAATTAGATCTAGTAGTTTGTTCCTTTTCACTGCTATATCCTGCTCCTCTGTGAGGATATGTCTCATTTCCCCTCCGCTTTGGTGATGAACTTTCTTTGTCATGTCCTCTGTGCCTCTGTGCACAGGGTTTCTTCCAGGAGGTCATGGCATGTCAGCTCACCTCATTGCACCGAATACCCTCCAAAGTGGTTGTAAGAGTTGAAGTGGCCCCAGCACACAGTGTCTAGGGATTCCTATTCTCCCACACCCTCACAAACACCTGACAGAAAGTAGAAATACGGATAATATGCAATCTGATGGGTGTAACCTGGTATCTCATTAATTCATCCTGTGCTTCTCTAAGTGCTAGTAAGCAACCCTGTATACACTGCTAGCTGCCCTTACCTTTGATTATGCATGTCTTTTGCCAGTTTTTCAAGTGGGTTCACAACTTTTATTCATTTCCAAGCATTTCCTTTATGTGCTAATTATTAATCCTTTTCATTTGTAGCCATGGCAAATACCTCATCCTAACCTGTGGCTGCCTATTTGTAGTGTTTGTAGTTGAAGAGCAGCTTTAAATTATGAGTAGTCTCAAAGGCAGCACTTTTTTTCTTTTGTCGGTTTTGTTTTAAGAAATCTTTCCCCACCTTGAAGTCACTATAGAAATAGTTTGAGAACCATTTTTCAAACCCTAGTGTATAAAAGGAGAGTCCGAGGGCTGCTGAAAAAGAAAAGGAAGGAAGACAGCAGAACGCTCAGTGATGCATTTTTCACCCTCCAGGTTGGCAGAAATATTTACATTGGACAATAGCAACAGAAACTCTTATACATTGCTGATGGGAGTGTAAATCAGTACCTCTTTGAGATACAGTTACACTTTATCTTATAAATTAAAAGTTCTTCCCCCAGACATACTGTGTGGAAATTTAACCACATGTGTAGCAGGAGATGTGTACAGGAATGTTCATAGCAGTTTTAGAATAGCTAAACAGATAATCTGTACACACTCCAGATATCTAGCAACAAGTGAAAGTGTAACTTGTATGTTATTCATGCAGTGGTATGCTATATAGCTGTGAACTATAGAGCAATGGAATACTATATAGTGAATCATCTAAAGTGAAATGCATTGACATGGATGAATCGTAGTAATTACCTGTGAGGGGGAGGAAGAGAGCTTCATTGGGGGTACACTATTCAAGGCATTAGCAGTATTGATGATATTCTATCTCTTAAACTGGTGACAGATACATAGGTGTCCATTTTATAATTCTTTTTTATCTTGTACATATGCTGCATTTCATGTGAATGAAAATTGTTCATAATTTTTGTTAAGCCACTACAGAAGTCTGGAGTGGGCACATTAGAATCTGTTTTTTAGTCAACACTTTTGTGTTGTGAATAGCCCAATTCCAAACTTTTAAAAGCACTACCTTAGAATTTCACAGATTTCCTTGAAATGTTGGCCTTTTTCTGGCAGAGGGATGGTGTGGAGATTATTGAAGCAAGGCAGATTCTTGACAGGTTCCAGTGCTGTGTGACAAAGGCAGGCAGAGATGAGAGCAACAGGAGCGGGAGTCCAGAGACCGGGGTCCCAGAGCTCTGACTTGTGGGGGGCCTTGGACATTGTCTTTCTCCTGACCTCTGTGCCCTCATCTGTGAAGCAAGCCATGTGCTTAGATTATAAGTCATTCCTAGCTGTGTACTGAGGTTGTAACCTTCCTCCTCTCAACCCTGGTGTCTTCTCAGCCGCAGCCCAATGATAAGAAATCAGAACTGCTGCCTGTCGGATGGAACAGCAATAAAGACCTGTACGTCCTCCGGTATGAGTCGAAGGATGGGTCCAGAAAGCTCCTTGTGAAGGCTGTCCCTGTGGAGAAGAGCATGATCATCAATGCGCTGGTGAGTGTCTGAGACAAGGAGGGATCTGGTGGTGAGAGTAGATGTGGTGAAACCCATTTAACTGTATGGGTGAAGAGTCCTAAATATTTGTGAAGCCTTTACCCATTGATCCTACATCTGGAATTTTATTCTGAGGCAAGAACTCTAAAGATAGAAAAGCTTTGTGCTCAAAGATTTTCACCACTGGTGGTGGAGGGGCACAGGGGGCTTTCCATCACAGGGGAATGGTTAAGTTAATTAAGATAAATCCATTCGGTGACAACCTGGGAGGAAAAACCGCAGCCCCTGAGGGATACTTTTAGTTCTTTAGCTAAGCCTCTCTTTTTGCTGCCTTGGAGCCTTATAACTCCTGGGTCCTGTGCCGGGAAGCTCTTCCTCTGTGAGTGCCTCACATGCTCACACACCTTCATCCTTTCTTTTCTGGGCCTGCGCCCTCTTTCAGTTCATTCCCTCAAAAAGCTCAGTCCTGACTACTTACTCTCACCTGCCAGAAATATCTAAAGTGTACTTCTCTCCTTCATCATTTCATTTTCCTGCCTGGTACCTCAATGTGTACTTATTTATGCTTTGGGTTTATGTTTGTATTTTATCGCTGGACAGTGAGCACCATGAGGGCAGTGATTTTCTTTTTGTTCTGATTGCGTGTGTTCATGAAAAAGTATGTTTGGAGGTCTTTACATAGAAATGCATATAGATATACAGTACCTTATTCAGTAATTTACTAGGCCATATTCCACAATGCCGTAATTTATTCATCCCTTCCTCTTTTGATGAACACTTAGATCTTCTATCAGACAAGGTTCTTAGTTTCAGACAACAAAATCCCCTCAGGTTAGTGTAAACAGACAGGGTTTGTTGAAGAATTGGGATAGTTCCTTGAATTATTGGAAGGGCTAGAAAATAGGTTTAAATCTGGGCTCCAGGATAGTGCTCCACACCATGCTGTTGAAACCACTGCTGTGGCCACCACAAGGATGCTAGGGACTGGCCAGTACTGCCAGCCTGGCGCTCCTTCTCATGAGCCACTGATGCTGGAGCCCCTCCTTAGCGAGAGGTCTGTCTTGCTCTGCCTGCTTTCCATGTTGCCCACCTCCATGTCCAAGTTGTGCATCTTTTTGGCTCCTCAGTTATACGCCTGTGCCCAGGCTGCAGAAGAGCCTAAGAAGTAGGTTTTCTGGGCTCTGCCTCAGAAACAAAACAAAACACGATATTCCTAAATCAGAGAAGTCCCCAAGCATTAGAAGGTCATTTCTTGTATTACAAACAGTCCTTATCTATGTCTCCTTGTGCACATACATGTTTCGTTAGCCCAGAAATAGTCCATCTCTCACTTTTTATTTTTATTTTTCTAGGAATATGGCTCACAGCATGTGTCAGATTTGACCCTCAACTTGGATGATTATATCGATTCAGAAAACCTGCTTGACTTCCCCAGGTACTTCCAAGTGATAGCTTCACCTGGGAATTTGCCTAACCAGGTCGGGAATAGAACCTATGACCATTCAGTGCATGGGAAAACACTTAACTACTGAGCACACCATCCAGGGCCCAACTTATTTATTTAATAGACTATTTTTAGAGCAGTTTCAGGTTCACAGCAAAATTGAACATCAAGTACAGAGTTCCCATGTACTTCCTGCCCCCCCTTCCCCTACACGGCACACATACACATGCACAGCCTCTTTCACTATCTGCATTCCTCACTAAGATGGTGGTGGTTTTTTTTTGGTTTTTTTTTAATGGATGAAACTGTACTAATGCACATTATCACCCAAGTTCCATAGTTTACTTTAGAGTTCACCCTTGGTGGTGTTGGAGTATGTTTAGATTTATAAGAAACTGCCCAACTGTTTTCCAAAGCAACTGTACTAGTTTGCATTCCCAGAAGCAATGAATGAGAATTCCTGTTGTCCCACATTCTAGTTAGCATTTGTTGGTGTTAGTAGTTCAGATTTTGGCCATTTTAATAGATGTATAGTAGTATCTCATTATTTGTTTTAATGTGCAGTTACCTAATGACATATGATGTTAAGCATCTTTTCATATGCTTATTTACCATCAGTATATATTCTTTGGAGAGGCTCTTCAGTCTTCAGGCAATTTTTACATTGTTTTCTATTGTTGGGTTTCAATCCTTTATATATTTTGGATAACAGTGTTTTATCATATAGTATGTGTTTTGCAAATATTTTTTCCTAATCTTGTCTTCTCATTCTCTTAATTTTTTATTTTTAAATTTACAACCCTACAGAAAAGATGGTTGCAAAAATATTACAGTGAACACTCATATACCCATCAACTAGATTCACCAAATGTTTTTAACATTTTGCCATATTTGCTTAACATTTAGATGCTTTTTTGTTCTTGAACCATCTGAGAATTATTTCCAGACTTTGTGGACCTTAACTCCTAAATATTTCAGTATTTATCTCTTTAAAAGGGCATTCTCCTATAACCTTATTACAGTTCATCACCCTCAGGAGCTGTAACATTGATACATTCGTATCATTTACTACATAGCTCATGTTCACATTTCTGCAGTCAGCACTGCAATGTCCTTTTTAGCTAGCTGCTAGCTAGTCTTTTGTTTTGGGGTTTGAGGGTTTTTTCCTATACAAACAAGATCACACCTTGCATTTATTTTCATGTCTCTTTAACTACCTTTAACCTAGTCAGTTTTTTGTACTTTGTGTGTGTGTGTGTGTGTGTGTGTGTGTGTGTGTGTATGTGGCGTTGGTATTTTTAAAGACTTGAGGTCAGTTGTGTAAAATGTTCAGATTTTTTTCCTCAGGATTGGATTGATCAGATTGTTTCCTCATCGTTCGATGTAGGTTGAACATTTTCCACAAGAATACTTCAGGGGTGAGGCTGTGTTCTTAGTGTTTTACATCAGGCATGTGATATCTGTCTCATAGTTGATTTTGTTCAATTGTTCACTTCGTTATGATACTATATTCCAGTTTTCTCTACAATTAAGGCATGTGTTTTTTCTTGTGTTTAATAAGTGATCTGTGGGATTATACTAGCAGACTGAATAATCTGCTTCCCACTGGTCTTTCACCCAGTGGTTTTAGCATCTATCGAAGATTCTTGCCTGAATCTATTATTATTGTGACTAGAGGCCCAGTGCACAAAATCTGTGTGTGGGGGCAGGGGGAAAGGCCTTCATCCCAGCCTGCACCCTCTCCAATTCGGGACCCCTTGGGGGATGTCTGACTGCCGGTTTAGGCCCAATACCGGGGATCGGGCCTAAACTGGCAGTCAGACATCCCTCTCACAATCCTAGACTGCTGGCTCCTAATCACTCATCTGCCTGGTTGCCCCTAACTGCTGGCCTGATTGCCCCTCACTGCCTTTGCATGCTGGCCTGATCGCTCCTAACTGCCATCCACTGCCGGCCAGGTTGCCCCCAACTGCCCACCCCCCCCACCCCCCCAGGGCTTACTTACCCCTCACTGCCCTTTCTCCCCTCCGCCCCCTCCGCTGGCCTGGTTGGCTATTACTGCCTCCCTTCCAGGCCTGGTCACCCCCAACTGCCCCCCTCTGCCAACCTGGTTGCCCCTAATTTCCCCCTCCTGCCAGCCTGGTTGCCCCACGCAGCCTGCTTATTCAGTTGTTTGGTTGTCCCTCACTAACCCCCTGCCAGCCTGGTTATAGGCAGCCATCTTGTGAAGGCATGAGGGTCAATTTGCATGTTACCTCTTTATTATATAGGACAATTACAAAATAGTAATTTTTATTATTCTTTCTATATTTATTAGTTAGCGTTTTTTTAAAAATATTTTCTATTCTTCTTGACCCCTTTATTTTTAATTTTTAAAATATCAGTATAGCCAAAACCAGTTTGGCTCAGTGGATAGAGCGTTGGCCTGCGGACTGAAAGGTCCCGGGTTCGATTCCAGTCAAGGGCATATACCTTGGTTGTGGGCACATCCCCAGTAGGGGGTGTGCAAGAGGCATCTGCTGGATGATTCTCATCAATGTTTCTAGCTCTCTATCCCTCTCTCTTCCTCTCTGTAAAATATCAATAAAATATATATTTTTTTAAAAGGTAAGATTAAAATATATATATATCATTGTAGACTTATGGTTTTTTGTTGTTGTTATTGTTTTTTGATTGTTTTTTCAGAGTTATAGTCCATTTCTGTAATTCTTTGAATGCTCAAGTTGTTCCAGAGTTGACAGTAGGAACCTCTTCAAGCTGCTCCTTTATCCTTTTGACATGTCCTCATCCTTCGTTGAGTGTTTTCATACTTTCTGGCACAATAAGAGGTTCTAGTCTCATCTTGCACTTTCCTTGCCCCTGCCTTGAAATTAGCCATTTTTCTAAGGAACCATGATTTCTGTTCATAGAGAATAGTATTTAAAAACAAAAATCTTCACCCTGAGTATGTTCATTAAGACTAAGGATGTCATTGCTTCCAGGTCTTAGAAAATAGAGGTAGGCAGCTTTTTCCTTAAAGTTTGTTTGTCTTAAATTTCAAGCTGATACTTCTACTTTTTATCTAACTCCATGGGATTCTTATTCCATCCTTATATCTATCTCCCTCCTGTGGTGAGAACTCTAGTGCCCAACACCACCAATATATTTACTTATTTGTTTGATCCTAAAGTATACACAAATAGTTTCTGAACTGCTACATCAGTACCCACCAAGAACAAATCTAAATGAAGTTTCAGATATGATTTCTTCCCAGGTCTTTTGTCCTTTGTGGGTATCCCACTGAGGATGTGTAAAGTCAAGAGTATTATGTTTAAAAGGTACTTAAGTTAATGCATGTTTTTCCAGTATAATGAAATTATCTGTTTAATATATAATTGGTCCTATTTACTTCCACTTTATTCCATTTAGGGACTTTTTCCCCATTTTCATTGACTTCCTTTGGGATTTTGGAGGAAGCCTGGTATCACTATAATTGACAGTCATCAGAACTGCCTAGAAACCCTGTTGCATTTAGTTGTACCTAATCAGCAATAACCATTTTGAATCTTCTGTACTCCTCTCAGACTTCCATACCACCTACCTCCATCATTCTGGCTACTCCTTTTTATCTCCTCCCCTCCCATACAACCTCCATGTGAGGAGAGCCCAACTTCCATTCCTGCTTACCATCTCCCAGAAGTCGGTTTACCACACAGCAGTCAGACCAGCCTTTTTAAAATATAAATCAAAGCATGGTTAAAAACCCTTGTTTGAAATCCTTCAGTGAAATCCTTCACACATTAGGATGGCTACTATTTTTTTTTTAATCAGGAAATAACAAATATTAGTGATAATGGGGAGAAATTGGAAACCTTGTACTCTATTGGTGAAAATGTAAAATGATGCAGCCACTATAGAAAGTGGTTACTGTATGATCCAGTAGTTCCACTTCTGGGCATGCCCTTGGTAGAGCTGAAAGCAGGCTCTTAAAGACATATCTGTACACCTATGTTTAGAGAAGCATTATTCACAAGAGTCAAAAGGTGGAAGCAACATAAGTACCTATGAGTACCTAGGACAGGTGAGTGGAAAAACAAAATGTGGTATATATGTACAATGGAATATTATTCATCTTTAAAAAGGAAGGAGGATTTCAGCATGAACCTTGAGGACATTAGGCTAAGTGAAATAAATGAGTCATAAGCCACCCAATATTGTATGATTCCACTTACCGTATTTTTCGGACCATAAGACACACTTTTTTCCCCCCAGAAGTGGGGGGGGGAAAGTCCCTGCGTCTTATGGTCCAAAAATAGCCTACACATATACTTTAAAAAAAAAAGTTTTTTTACTTGCCCGGCTCTGTGTGGTCTGTGTGCTTGCCCGGCTCTAAAATGGTTCTAAATGCTGCTGTTTACTTTACAGGGTTGATTACATGTGTTTATGACTGTGATGTTGGGTTTTAATGCACATAAAATATTTTAGGACGCTATTTGTTTCAGAATCTTTTTTTCTTCATTTCCCTTCTCTAAAAACTGGTGCGTCTTATGGTCCGAAAAATACGGTATATCAGATACCTAGAGTAGTCAGATTCATAGAGACAGAAAGTAATGTAATCATTGCCAGGGGCTGGGCAAGGACAGAATAGGGAGTTTAATGGGTACAGAGTTTTCGTTTTGCAAGATGAAGAGTACTGAACATGGTGGTTGTTGGTGGATTCCGCAATAATGTGAATGTGCTTAAATACTACTGAACTGTACACTTAAATGTTATATTGATACAGTGTTAAGTATTTTTTAATTGGGGGGGAGGGGGGGCTGAAAACCCTTCAGTGAATTTTCATTTCTCTGAGGATAAAGAACAAAATCCTGGATGAGGCCTAAAGCCTGTGCCTAAGCCAGCTTCATCCTGTGGCACTTGCCCGTGTGTCTTAGCCATGGTGCCATGCTTCTCCCTCTTCAGAGTTCTTCCCGCTGCCAAGCATGCTCTCCCCGGCTGCCTCACAGAGCCAG